TAGAGAGTAGAGGGTAGAGGGTGGATGGAAGAGGGTGGAGAGTAGAGGGTGGAGGGTAGAGAGAAGAGGTAGTAGAGGGTAGAGGGTAGAGGGTAGAGGGTAGAGGGAAGACGCTTGAGGGTAGAGGGTAGAGGGAAGACGCTTGAGGGTAGAGGGTAGAGGGTAGAGGGTAGAGGGTAGAGGGTAGAGGGAAGACGCTTGAGGGTAGAGGGTAGAAGGTAGAGGGTAGAGGGAAGAGGTAGAGGGTATCGCAAGCAGACCCCCTACTGTTCATCCTTATTGTTTCTCACCTCCCGGGTGGACCTTCAGGCTTGCTGAATGTGAAGGGACCGCTGTCAACCAGTCATGAACCATGCTTGTCCTGCTCCTGCTCCTGCTCCTGCTCCTGCTCCTGCTCCTGCTCCAGCTCCTGCTGCTGCTGCTGCTGCTGCTGCTGCTGCTGCTGCTGCTGCTCCTGTTCCCCCCACCCTCTCCTCACTCACTCACTCTTACTGCTACCACAAGTCTCCATCGTCGCCATCGTCATCATCATCGTCATCATCATCGTCATTATCATGGTCATGGTCGTCGTCGTCATCAGCACCATCATCGTCATCGTCACTACCATCATCACTGCCGCCGCCGCCATCATCTCCTCTACCTCCATCATCATCACGCGACTGTAGCCTCTCATCTTTCGCTCAATCTCATTGCCATCACGCACAAGAACCACAGCAACCATGGTCCTCCAACAAAGCTCCTCCTACTCCCTCTGATCTCACCTGACAATTCCAGTGCTCTCAGCGTCAGCATAGACTTCTTGAATCGTTTGTTCCTTCATTGCAGCAGTCAGAAGAGACAGCAAGCAAGAGTGAAGACAACAACAACATCACTTCACCTGCCCATCACATACGATGAAGATCTCCCCGCTCACCGTCTCTTTCTCTTTCCCCAGCGCTAGCATGATCGCTCCGACAACATCGTCATACCCCACCAGCCCCATCAGACTGTCCCCCCGCCTCTCCACCTCCCCGCTCTTGAGGAAGAATGAGTTGCGATCGGGCGCAAGGTTGTACATCCCTGCTAGTCGCATGACAACTCCTCCTGCTCCGAGAGCGATCTCCTCTGCTCTCAGCAGCTTTGACGAGAAGGGAGACCCCGTCCTGTTCACTGCGCTCTCCTCGTTCACGGTCACCACCTCCTGATCACTCTGTGCAAACACCCCGACTGAAGACGCCAGCACCAGGTTCCCTCCTCCTCCTCTTGTCCCCTCCTCCTCCTTCCTCCAGCATGACACGCTGCTTCTCACAATCTCCTCATAGTCTTCGACGTTCGGCGTCACCAGGATCACAACGTGGTCGAACTTTCTAGCTGGGAGGCTCGTCTCAACGTCTCCTGCCCCGATCCTCCTCAGCTTCTCGTGCCGCTTGTCCGTCCTGCTAGACCTGGTGAGCACAAAATCCATCCGCCTCCTCCTCTCCCTCCTTCCCATCCTCTCTCCCTCTCTCCCTCTCCTCCTCCTCCCTCCCCTGTTCTCCTGCTCCTCCTGCTCCTCCTCTCCCTCCTCCCTATCCTCCGCCCCTCTCTCCCTTTCCTGTCTCTCCTCCTCCTCCTCCTCCTCCTCCGCCCCCGCTCTCTTGTCCCTTCCTTCCTCCTCCTACCTCGTCACTGCACAGATCTCCGCATGAGGGTTCTGCTCCTTGTACGCTCTCACCATCCTCTCTCCCAACGTGCCTGCTCCCACCACCAGCAGACTCCGAGGACGAAGCTGCTCCCGCCCGTCTCCTCCCTCCATCAGGATTCTTGTTTTCTCCCCCCTCCGTAGGTAAGCACCTCTCAGCACGATTCTCCCTCCCACACTCTGCATGCATGCTTGCCGGCAGGAGGAACCCACGGGAGGGACCCTGCAGGGCAGGAATGCGAGGGCAGGGAGCGTGTGAAGGAGGGTGAAGGCGAGCAGCGAAGATTTCTTGAGCATTGCCTGTCGAGTCTGAACATGCTGGTCAGCAACTGCGTACTACAGGAAACGCCTCGTTAGGCTTCGTTAGCATCGCAAGATCTTCATCAACGATTCTTTCCATTCACGCTCAATCCCCGCTCCTAGCCTGTTCTATTAAGTCTTTGCCTAATTAATCCCTGATCCGCCTTCTCCGCCTTCTCCTTCTCCTCTTTCTTCTCCTTCATCGTCGTCTTTTCTTCTTCTCCTCCTCCTTCTCCCTGTGGTGGTGGTGGTGGTGGTGGTGGTGGTGGTGGTGGTGGTTGTAGTCCTCCTCCTCCAAGTGCTCCTGCTGCTGCGCGTACTGCTGCTCCTTCCCCTTGCTGCTGCTGCTGCTGCTGCTGCTGCTGCTGCTGCTGCTGCTGTTCCTGATCTTGCTGCTGCTGCTGCTGCTGCTGCTCCTGCTCTCCTGCTCTCCTGCTCTCCTGCTCTCCTGCTCTCCTGCTCTCCTGCTTTCGAGCCTGCCCCTTTTGTATAAGAGTTTCTTGTCGGGACAGACGACCCACCCCACCTACTTTATTCCATGACAAACTTACACCCTTCTGGTATTTCAGGGGTACTTTACATATCAGAGTACCCGTGCATAGGTATCCTTTGGGGTAGGGTCTGTTCAACTGTAGCCCCACCCCCGCATTTGAAGAGTTTAGTAGGTGGGGTGTATACCCTACCCTTGATATGGCAGGTAATTTGGGGGTAGGGGTATCATTGTCCAATCAGCCTCTGTTTTGAATGACTACCCCACCCCTCCTTTGAACGGAAGTTGATCGGTGACTACCCCCTCTGTGGAGAAATGTGCTCACGGTACCGGTACTTGATAGTTCACCAAAAGGGATACAATGGGGTCATAACCCCCACCCTCATTGACATTCCTCAGTAGGGGTGGTGTAATGGATGCATGCAGGCGATATAAAAGAGAAAAATGAGAGGGGGGGAGAGGAGGAGGAGGGAGGCGAAGGAGGGAGGTGCAGAGGAGTATGGTGAAGCAGGATGAGCAGCAGGAGCTGCAGCAGGAGTAAGAGGGACAGAAGCGCCATGATCTGACCTCTCCACTCCCCATCGTGCACAATGTGGAATAGACTGGACGATGCAAGAACGGAGGCGGTGAGAGTAGCGCACTTACAAGGAGGGATACGATCTTAGATGAGGAGAGCAAGAGAGATACTTGCTTCACGCCAATCGGAACGATGATGGCGTCATAGAGAAAGTAGAAGGAGGGTTGTTGAGGGCGTACAAGAAGTAAAGCAAAACCAGTAGGGAGGTCTGGTCGGCAACAGCAGGGTACTGAAAGGAGGGAGTAGCACACGAGCAGCGGATAGCAGATAGTTATCCATCCATGATGAAGCAAAAGTTCGAAATCGGTTGTCGAGACGAGGAGAGGAGGGGAGGGGACGAGCACGGAGCACGTGGCAGAGGCGTGGGCGGTGAGCTGTCGGCTGAGAGGGAGGACGCAGGTGCTCTCCTTTGACGGGCTCGTTTTGAGGTCAGAAGAGCAGCACAGCCGGTGAGGATGGCTGAACATGCTGCTTGCTGTCTTGCTGACGCGTTCATGGCGGACGTTGGCAGGAGTTGACAAGATGGGAGGGCCGGCGAACGGCTGTCAGATCATCACGCACGACATGAAGTTCAACGAGGAGTTTGCGAACTTTGTGAGCAGCAACGAGCTCGGGAAGAAGGCGAGAGCCTATCACATCGTGTCGATCATCGGGGGGCAGAGCAGCGGGAAGTCGACCCTTCTGAACCAGCTGTTCGGGACGAGCTTCGAGATGATGGACTCGAAACGCGGGAGGCAGCAGACGACAAAGGGGATCTGGTGTGCGTGCGCCAAGAGCGGGGAGATCCTGGTGATGGACGTGGAGGGGACGGACGGGAGGGAGAAGGAGGACCAGAAGGCGTTCGAGGGCAAGAGCGCGCTGTTCTCCCTTGCTCTGACAGATATCATGATGATTAATATGTGGATGCATGAAGTGGGGCGTTTTAACGCTGCGAATCTTCCTCTGATCAAGACTGTCATTGAGGCTCACTTGCGGCTGATGTTCGCCGGCGGGTACGTGGAGAAGCACGTTGCGAAGCCGCTGCTGCTCTTCGTCCTCAGGGACTGTGACGACAGTACGCCTGTGGAGAGGCTGAAGGAAGACGTGGTGAAAGACATCGAGAAGATATGGAAGGATGTTAGCAAACCCGCGAACTTCCCTGATGCCCAGCTGACGGACTTCTTCAACATCGAGTGCAAGGCCCTTCCCCACTACGTGTACTGCAAGGAACAGTGGAAGGAGGAGGTGGAGTCGCTCGCGCGGCAGTTTGACGATGATGCGAGGGAGGACTACATCTTCAGAGGGCATGGGGAGAAAGAAGTTCCGGCTGATGGGATTGCAGACTTTGCCGGTCAGTTGTGGAGAGACATTGAAGCTGACAACGAGCTGGACCTGCCGACTCATAGAAAGATGTTGTCGATGGTGAGGTGCGAAAGGAAGCGGCAGATGAAGTTTGCGGCGTTCCAGGCTGAGTCGGAGTCGAGCAGGTTGGCTGATGTGATGTGATGTGATGTGATGTGATGTGATGTGATGTGATGTGAGATGATATTATGAGATGAGATGAGTTGAAATGTGATGTGCTCATGATACAAGATGTTTGTACAGTCTTATATGATGTGATACGAAATGATGCAACAATCTAAATGTCATTCTTTGATATTCCATGACATGCTTCTCACTGTAATGGTCGACTTGGTTCCTTCTCTTTGAAAGTTTTAATCGATCTCTACACCAGTTGGCCCCATGAAACAAAGTCGTCAGACTTCAAGAAGGAGACAGAACAACGTCTGCAGCGTCTTCAAGACGAATACGTGAAGGAGACGGCAGGGTACGACGCTGAAGAGCAAGAGAAAGCAAAGATGCTCCTGACTCAAGACTTCTGGAAGTATGCTGAGGTAAAGGCCTGCTGCCATTGCTGCTGCTGCTGCTGCTGCTGCTGCCATTGCTGCTGGTGCTGCTGTTGGTGCTGCTGGTGCTGCTGCTGCTGCTGCTTTCCTGCTCCTGCCAATTGTCTGCTCTTTCTGCTCACCATCCCTTTGTTTCTTGTTTGACATTTTCCTTTTCTTGTCGCTTTCTTTCCATCTGTGTTGTTGTTGTTGTTGTTGTTGTTGTTGTTGTTGTTGTTGTTGTTGTTGTTGTTGTTGTTGTTGTTGTTGTTGTTGTTGTTGTTGTTGTTGTTGTTGTTGTTGTTGTTGTTGTTGTTGATGATGATGATCGCGATAATGATGATGGCAATGATGGTGGTGATGATGATAATGATGATGGAGGTGATGATGATGATGGAGATGATGATAGAGATGGAAGTAGTGACAACGAAGATGATGATGAAGGCAAGGAGGGAGAGAGGCAGTGGGAGGGAGGAGGAAGAAAGCTCTCCATGACTCATGTTGGCTCGCAGATCACTTGATCGTTGTCGTCCATGGGATCGGCACCAACGATGAAACTCTACCTGAGTACGTGGCGAGTCTGCGAAGAATATTCGACATGAACTGGCAGAAAAGGTATTCAACTCCTCCTCTACTCCTCCTCTACTCCTCCTCTCCTCTACTCCTCCTATTTCCTTCTCCTCCTATGGCCTCGTCCTCGTCCTCGTCCTCGTCCTCGTCCTCCTCTTCACCTCCTACCTCCCTCGCCAGCGAACACCTCTTTTCCCTGCTCCTTTTCGTTTTCCTTTTGCCAGTCCTCGTGCTCGTCCTTCACTTCCTCTCCTCCTCCTCCTCCTCCCCCCTCCCCTCCTCCCCCTCCTCCCCTCCTCACCTTCACCCCAGTACCTCGACATTCCCCTCACCGTCGCCGTCGATGCCATTTCTTGGCACACAGTCTCCCGAGCCCCCCAGCAGGTCATGGAGCAAATAACACTCCCTTCCGTCCCTGCCATCCGCTCGGTCATCAACGATACCATGCTCGACGTCCTCTACTACAGGTCCCCCGTCTATGGGCAGAAGCTCCTCCACTCCGTCGCCCTCCTCCTCAACCGCAAAGTTCAGCTGTACAAGAGCGCCTTCCCCAACTTCTCCGGCAGAGTCTCCCTCTACGGCCACTCCCTCGGCTCCGTCATCATGTTCGACCTCCTCCAGAACCAGAAGCAGAAGTTTCCTGCTCCTGCTCCTGCTCCTGCTCCTGCTCCT